AGAGAGAGAGAGAGAGAGAGAGGCAGTGGTAAAGAACGCGTGGGAGCCACAGATTTAGAGAAGATGTACAGAAAGTGCAAAGGACTTTCAGAATCGCAACAGTCACGCCCTAGTGTAATTGAAAAGAACACGGAAGGAAAGATCCCTCAGACAGCAGACTGACTAGGTCTAAGCAAGTACATTATATGGATGAATACTATCGAATACTTTGTGGTTCCGAGTACAAACCTAGGAACCAAAACTCAAACTGCAGAACAGAAAGTGCAATACACAGACAAAGAAAGGGACAGAATGTTAGTTAGTTAGTTTTAGTAGAGGTTTTACGGCGCTCGCAACTGCATAAGGTCATATGATTAGAGGTGTTACAAGAGAGTAACAAACATAAAAAAGAAAAAGGGGAGATAAGGATGATAGATGTTCGATAGGAAAGAAAGAGCAAACCACACCAGAGCGCCCGCCAACCACCCACAAGGGACAGAATGATAGCGATGTGAACAACTCTTGAAATGTCAATTAGCCTAGAAGTAGAAGTTAAATGAGAAATCGTAAGAAAAAACAACCGACAGCAGTAAAAAAAAAACAGAAACAAAAAACAACAAAAAAAACAACAACAAAACAACAACAACAACAAACAAACAAACAAAGCAAAATCAATAACCAAAAAATGTTGCGAGAAGGAAGGGACACAAACGGCAAAAATGCACCGATGTGCCCAGTGCTTCGGGACCTTTCTTTAGTAACACGAACACGTAGAGTTACGTCACGACTAAATATAGATTATGGATTTATCTGAAGAGTGAAAGTGTGGGGAGTGGCAAGGCAATATTGATGAGCCCAATGATTATAAATGGATCCATTATAAATTTACTGTCTCTGGTTTAGCCCATGTTGGCATGATAAAAATAAAAAAATATACAGTTTTTAAACTGTTAAACCTATGGTGTTTGTGGAAACTAAAGCAAAAGCACACCTTCCAAATGTCAGCCTAAAAAAGGGATTGAATTTTTTTAAAGATAATAATAAA